GACTGCAGCTTAGGTCTGCTCCCCGCTGGCAAGTGGACATCCCCCGAGGGCTGCCGGGCTGCCAGAGGGATGTCTGATTGCCATCTTAGGCCCAATCCCCCGGGGGAGCAGGCCTAAGCCAGCATATGGTCATCCCCCGAGGGGTCCCAGACTGCGAGAGGGCACAGGCCGGGCTGAGGGACCCCCTACCCCGAGTGCACAAATTTTTGTGCACCGGGCCTCTAGTTTGTTTCTAAAAAGCCCCTTTGAACCACACCTGAGTATATGTTAATTAGACTTTTGGACAGTCCCTAAGTAACCTTAAGATGGTGGATGGTTGCCAGGGGAATCAACCATATTATTAGATGGCTGGGACACCCCCAACCTCCAGGGAGGGAAGAAGGGCTAGAGACTAAATCAATGGCCAATGGCCAATGATTTAATCAATCGAGCCTACATAAGGAAACCACCATTAAAATCCAAAAGCATGGAGTTCAGAGACCTTCCTCCTTATGCAGGAGGGAGTAAGCTCCAGTACTTGAGATCCTCCTAGATCTCATCCCATATACTTCTTCATTTGGCTGTTCATCTCTATCCTTTATAATATCTTTTATAATAAACTGGTGCAGGTAAGTCAATGTTTCTCTGAGTTTTGTGAACTACTCTAGCAAATTAACTGAACCTGAGAATCTTTAGCCAGTCTTGTGGGATGGAGCTCTTAACCGCTGGGATCTGATGCTATCTCTAGGTGGATAGTGTTCAAAATGAGTTAAATTGTAGCTGGAGTCGCAGAATTGGTTGATGTGTAAAAACTGTAAAAACCCACACATCTCAAGTCAGATGTGAAGTTGTGTTGTAATAGATTACTGAGAATAGAGGAGTCACACAGCAGTGAGTTTTTTCTTTAAACTGTGTTAGTGAAGAAATCAGAATTGAATTATAAACTGGGAAACCAAGACAATAGACGTTCCTGAAAGAATGCACTTGGATGAGACTGACTTACAGTAGAGAACAAAAAGAAAAATGTCCACTAAGAAAACCTGACTCCCTCTTTCTATCATGATGCACATCCAATCTATCAGCAAATCCTGCCAGTGCTACTTTTAAATTTTATCTAGACTCCAAAAATACTGCTACCACAGTGGTCGAAGGCACCACCATCTCTCCCATGAGTTATTACAGTAGACTCCTATATAGTCATCTTACTCTCTACAGTCCATTTTCCATGCAGTAGCTAGTATAATCCCATTAAAATTAAGTCTAGAGCCTCAAATGGATTCCTATTGCATTTAGAAAATATAGCAAAAAATACTAATTATTTTTATGAAAATGGTCCATAGCAAAATTTCAGTTTTAGATAACAAAATATTTAGGTCTACAGCTTTTCCATGATCACTCAAACTGCACATTTATATAGCTTAATTACTTCTCCCTTACCAGAGAAATCATACAAATAACTAAACACATACATAATCCAGTTGATTTTTAAATTCTCTTAAGTATCACAACTAGGTATCTAAAAGTCAAATAACTTAGAGGAAAGTACACTGACACGAAGCCATCTCTTGGTTTTAAGATTTATATATATGAAAAATGTGAGACATCGCTATTATAAAATAGTTTACTTAGCTCATAAAGAGCAAATACTATTCACACAAAGAGACTAACCCACATACAGTGACATAGGTGATTTAATCTACTAGTTGGTGTTCACATCATTTGGATTTGGTAAACACAGATACTTTTTTTGTCAGATCTCACAAATTAAAAGACACTTTGGAATGTTTGTGCCTTATCTGGTTATTGTCATTTTACTTTTTCAGACTTCTTAAAACTGGTATCTCACTGGGGAGGCAGTAAGTTAGAATGCAACCTAGTGGGGAAATCCTGCATTTGCTCAATGTCTATAGCTTTTACACAGTTCCAGATGTTCAGTACATTAATAATGCACTAACTCAAAGCCTCTTTTTGAAACTTTAGAAAGTGCAAATTGCATTAAAACCTCTTTGCCCTCATTAATGGTATTGTTACAATCCTAGTCCTCTGGAAAATGTTTTTTGGCATGTGTTTAACTTTATAATATTGCCATTTACTCACTTTAATAGCCAGTACTCAAGTCTTAATGCTTTCTAATAGGCCTGCCTAAACAGACTACCATCTTTTGTAATCTTTTTCACATAATTTACTTATATGTAAAACCTGTCATATTTTTCCATATGAAGGTGATTCTTCACTATTCATTTCAATATTTAAGAAATTTTTACTAGACTTTATTCAGTTATAATGTACCTATAGATGGCACATGTTAGGAATAAAATATAGTTCCTTATAAATAATAAAAATTTAAAACTAGTATTTTTTTCATAACTTTTTAAATTACAGTAAAAATATATGCTTAATTCTTACTGTACTCAAACATCTGTATTCAAACATAAAATATGAAAAATATTAATTTCTATTGAAACAACTTCCTATATTCTAGCTTTATCCTGATATCTGATTCAGCATCTTCACCTCAAGAGGCTCAGTTATATTTCAAGATCAAGTTTTCAACAAATTTGGATGCAGTCAGTAATGCACTAGGAAGAATAATATGGAGGAATATTGTCCTGAAGTGTAAGATCCATTTTAGTTCTTGGCTTAATAAAAATAAAAGGTCCTACAGTCCTCTCTCGTAAGGAAAATTCCCTCACATAATTTTGTTAAAAGAATGAGGACTCTGCCCTAACCGGTTTGGCTCAGTGGATAGAGCACTGGCCTGTGGACTGAAAGGTCCCAGGTTCGATTCCAGTCAAGGGCATGTACCTTGGTTGCAGGCACATCCCCAGTAGGGGGTGTGCAGGAGGCAGCTGATCGATGTTTCTCTCCCATTGATGTTTCTAACTTTCTATCTCTCTCCCTTCCTCTCTGTAAAAAATCAATAAAATATATATTAAAAAAAAAAAAGAATGAGGACTCTGAAAATGTTAGAACTGCACTACTGTTACTGATGGATATTTACAGTCATTTATTGATACATTATGATAAAAATATACAATGATATACACAATGTAAAAAATTTCAAATAAAGTAGAATTTCAGAAATAACTCATATAGTTCCTCATGATAATCTACTTTGTTGAAATCTCTTGGATAGAAAATAAGAACTGAATAGCTATTTATGTATGGAAAAAATTCTTGACTCTTTAAAACAAATTCTGAATTTCTTTTTATTGATCAACATAGTTGGGTTCATCAATGACTTAAGAAAATATTTTATTAAAATGCATATATTTGACCAGTTTTGCTACTTTAGAGTTAAGTATTGGCTTACTAAATGTTGGCTGAAATCTGAACAAATAAATTTATTCACACAAATTCATTTTTATGTTTCATTCCTTACCAGAGTAGATTAATTGTAGGAGGGGAAAAAAAAGCAACTCATTTTTTATCCCTCTATTAAAAGGCTAATAATTAAAGTAAACTATAATGAGGTCACTGTACCTGCACTATTATAATCTAAGTAGAATCTAGGCTGGGAAGAAGATAAATAAGATGTAACCACTACAGTGTTTCCTAAAACATTCTACCGCTTTCAGGTGCTGCCAACCTGAATCTGCTATAAACCTGTTGCTATAAAACTTGAAGGTGAAATACTTTGGAAAAAACACCATTTCCAAAATCTAGTGGAGAAGATCCACTAGAAAAAAAAAGAAATTTACAACGCCAAAATAATAATAATAATCCTTTTTAAACTGTGGTAAAATATACAGAGCATAAAATTTACCATCTTAACCATTTTTAAGTTTATAGGTCAGTTAGGTTAAGTATACTCACATTATTGTACAACCTATCTCCAAAACACTATTTCTCTTGCAAAATTAAAGCTATTAAACAGCTCATTCCCCGCTTCCTCCAGCCCTGGCAACTACCCTTCTAACTTTTTGTTGCTATAATTTGACTACTCTAGCTACCTTATATAAATGGAATCACAGTAGCCCTGACCGGTTTGGCTCAGCGGATAGAGCGTCGGCCTGCGGACTCAAGGGTCCCAGGTTCGATTCCGGTCAAGGGCATGTACCTTGGTTGCGATCAATGTTTCTCTCTCATCGATGTTTCTAGCTCTCTGTCCCTCTTCCCTCCTCTCTGTAAAAAATCAATAAAATATATTTAAAAAAAAATAAAATAAATAAATAAATAAATAAATGGAATCACAGTATTTGTCTCTTTGTGATTGGCTACTTTCACTTAACATAATGTCCTCTAGGTCCATCCAAGTTGTAGCATAAAAACAACCTATTTATTAAAACAATCTATCTATAATAATAAAAGCATAATATGCTAATTAGACCAGAGGTCCTTCTGGACAACCTTCCGGACGAAGTCGGGGCTGGGAGGGAAGCCAGGGTCCCAGGTGCCAGAGGAAAGCCACGGCCGGCAGCTGGGGAAAGGAAGGCCTACTCTTGAACGAATCTCGTGCATCAGGCCTCTGAGTTTATTATATCTCTGTAGGCCACAAGTCCAAGCACAGCGCAACTGGATTCTCTACTCAGGGTTTCAAAATTAATGTGTCTTCTGGGGCTGCAGTTCTCATCTGGGACTTGGGGTTCTCTTCCAAGGTCTGGCTGTTGAAAGAATTCACTTCCTACCAGCTATTGGCCAGAACTGCTCTCAACTCCTACAGGCCACTTGCAATTCCTTGCCACATTCCCTACCTCTCCCATCGTCAGTTTACAACACAGACATCTGCTTTCTTCCAAGCAAGCTAGATCATGTCTCTCTGACCTCCTCTTCTGCAACCAACTGTAGAAAACTCTCTGCTTTTAAAGGGCTTGTGGGATTAGATCGGGACCAAGTAGATCATTTCTCCCTATCTTAAGGGATTTCTTATGCAAAATCCCTTCACAGCAGTACCTATATTACTGTTTGAATGAATAAGTGGGGGAAAGAATGTATACGCAAGAGGCCAGGAATATTGGGGGGCCATCTTACAATTCTGCCTACCGCACATAGGTAGGTATGAAAATGCATGACAGTTCTAAGCATGCATAATGCAATGTGCCTAAAATAAAGGTATATACAGGATGGGGGCATGCTAGGAATAAGGCTGAAAAATAACCAACACTATGGGGAGTGCAAAATATTTTAGGCTCAGTCTTTCAGAAAATAAGGAATTATTAAAGGTTTTTAAACCTGGGTATACTATTAGGGTCTGATGGACCTATTTTTCACTTTTGAACATGTCTATTTGTAAAGATTGATATTTCATCACTTTTTTTCTTAGGGAACTTAAAAAACACACACATAAAAGGCTTGGTGCCTGGTGTCTTTATCAAAGACAAAGTACCCAATGAACAGAAAAGTACTAATGCCTATAAATTTCAGTTGATTCATTTAGCTATAACATATTTTAAACTGCTGAAACTGGCTAATGAAAATTATATCATTTGAAAACACTGGAACCAGAAGGTATGATTTATTGTTCAGGCTGTTTTCCACTGTAACTTTTTCATTGACAATTATATTACTGTCCATTGAAATAACTTTACATTAGATTTGGTTCTCCTTCATATATACTAAGAAAAAAACATACAAAGCTGGTTCCTAGCATATAAAGAATCATTCTTACCACATCTTTGAAGCTTAGCAAAAAATCAAATTGTTCATTTATTCAACTGGGCATTTCCTGGCTCACTTTTTACCACTGTGATTAGAAAATATAAAAAGGTTTTATTAATGTGTTAAGATATTGCTTTACTTTAGTTCCAGGCTTAATTATTGGTTATCCTTAATATAACTATTTAGTGTAGATGTTCACACTCTGGAATAAATATTGCTTTGTATTAAATATTTTAAAGATGTTTATGTCCATTTTGTTTTTAGAAATTCTTGTAAAAAACAATCTGATTAAATTTCTTGTAAAAACAATTCCTTCAGTTTATCTCTAGGAGGACTAATTCACTGCATCTCTAGCTAACAAAGTATGTCTCTTAGTTCCAATCGGGCTGCTATAACAAAATACTCCTGACTGGGTAGCTTAGAAACAACAGAAATTTATTAACAGTTCTGGAGGCTGAAAAGTCTAAGATCAAGGCACCAGTGTGACCACATTTGGTGAGGGCTCTCTTCCTGGTTCATAGCTGGTGCCTTCTTGCTGTGTTCTCACATGGTGAAAGGGGCAAGGGATCTCTCTGGAGCCTCTTTGATAAGACACTAATCTTATTCATGAGGATTCTATTCTCATGACTTAAGCACCTCCCACTGCTTAATGTCATCATCTTGGGGGGTTAAGATTTCAAAATATAAAATTTGGGGGATATATTTAGACCACAGCAGTATGTATGTAGATGAAAAGACAGTAGAAAAGCCAAAAGTATCAATATTGCCATTCATATATATTATTTCTACGACTGTCCTTACATATATAACTTCATATGAAAAAAGGAAATGCCACTTCTCTACATTGGAATTTAGCTTTGATTTTGATAAATATATTACTCTCAGAAATTATATGTGGTTTTAATTCTTTAGCTATTAAGACTAAGATATTATAACTCAATTTAACTCAAGAAAATATTATTGAAAATCAGAGTGAGTCTAAAAACAAGGAAAAAAGTCATTTACATGAAGTAAAAATATAGACAACCAAGAAAGTTGACTTTAGATTCAAATTACTGAAACTTTCAAAAGTGTAATCTACGAAAGTGGAAAAGAGTGCTCCTTTTCCCTTCAACTATGAAAATATCAAGCTACCTCTAAGAATAAAAATCCCATACACATAAATAGTCCCCTTATATAACAAGCACTGCTTCAAAACGTTTTTAGTCTTTAAACTGTCAAGTAAAACAGTAATAGAACAATTAGGCAGTGCCTTAATCAATAAATAAGTAAAACAACATATGATGTTTAGAAAACTGTAAGTCCCCTGTTGCTTCTAGCCCTAGGAATCTTATCATGGTAATCCCACATTATTTTCTAAAGGCAAAAGAAACAATAAGTATTCCCCTACCTTGTAAGATGGCAAGAAACACAAAATTCCTTGGCCAACAATCTGGCACACAGATAACAAAAGTGCTCCCACTTCATCCTGGAACTCAAATGTTTCTGTGTGCTGGAAGGTAGCACAGAGATTCCGACCCTTGGGTCCTGACCCAATGGTGCCAACCCAAACCTAGAATATAAATATATTAGTATTAGAATTATGCCTAAACTAGGCAGGCAATTTAGCATTTAGTTGGGAGCCTTAATTACATATATATCAAAAGAAGATCAAGCAACAAGTTTAGAGGAAATTTATTTTTAAATTCCCTTTATATAATTATATATAGATTTAATTTATAAAAGTTTTATTTTTAGGCAGATCATTGAATTCTCCTAGGATAAAAGCAAAAAGGTTTCACTTATCGATTCCCTAAATGGCTTTGCACAATTAAGCATGTAACAAAATTATGTTGGATGATGTGAACAAATGAAATGGATAAATCAGAAATAGTCCAAAGTATTAGAGGTAAGGACTGGTATGATCTGCTATAGACAAGTTTCTAAGATTCAACTATGACATGAACTACTCTTTCATAAATTCACTGATATTCAAAGATCTACAGTCATAAAAAAAATCAAACTCACAAAATTTTACAGCTCTATGCAATTCCTCTAACTCATACAGATCTAGCCTTAGTGTAGTTAATTTGATTAAGAGAAAGAACAGACTTTATTAGTAATCCACAGAAAATACAAACAGTTCAGATTGCTAAAAAATGTAATAATATTATATTTTGAAATAATGTATAAGATTGAAGTACATTGTACAAGATAACATCTGACGGACACCATATTAAGCAATTATTTAAATGATCCAACTAGTAACATAAAAAACTGACATTATGTTTCCTGACACAAAGCAATGAAAAGTAACAATACCACCTGTATAGTATTCTTATCAAACTGCTTAACCTGAATCTTATGATAAAGAAACAATCAGATAAGTCCAAATTATAAGCCTTTCCTTAAGGAAACAGGTAAATTGAATTCTTCATAAAACGTCAGATAGAAAAAAAAAAAGGCAAGAAAACTGTTTTTAAGACCAAAGAAACATGAAAACCAAAAGCAATATATACTTCTTGTGTGGATCCTGGATTAAGAATTTTAAAAATAGGTTGAAAGTAACTAAAGAAATATAAATATTGACTCTATTATGTCAATATTAATTATTTCTCTCTTCCACTCTCTCTAAAAATCAATGGAAAAATATCCTCAGGTGAGGATTGAAAAAAAAGAAGAAAAAGAAACAGAAAACAGATCAATAAATGACAATAAAAACATTTTTAGGAAAATTAAAGTAATATCTATATGGTATTATTATAAAAAATTAAAATCTTAAGTCACAGGACTCATAAGAGTACTTCTAATTCATTTCAGATACTCAAATATGTGCCCAACACTTGCTAACTAATGCTAGATAGATATTAGTCTAGGTACAGTAGAAGAATGTAAACATAAAAAGAAGAACAAGGATACACCATAGTCTAATGGAAAAGAGAAACACATAAACAAATAATTAAACAATAGAATCTATGGTAAAGAAGTTGAATTTTGTTTTGGTTTTCATTTTTATTTTTAAAAAAACACATTAAAACTTATTTAAATGAGGAAATTGCAATACAGTCTTTGCATCCAAAGTATATATTTTTATTCAGTGGGTTGAAGGAATGCATTCATTAGTATTTCTTTTTTGTTGACACTATCAAGTAGCTGACAGATCATCCTTGGAAATCATGAGGAGATTCCAGAGGAAACTGAATCCTAAAATATCAACAGCGAGGGCCGTGAGATTGACTGAGCCTATTAGTGATTTTTGTAGGACATACTTTGGTTGCTGCTGGTTGGCATTGCTGTGACACTTGTGGTATTTTTTTTGTGTGCTCTGAATTAAACAAGATCAATTATCAAAAAAAAAAAAAAAAAGTAGCTGACAGATTTTCCTTTATTCTAAAACTGAAATGTTGATTTTCCTATCAGGATCTGTTTGCTAGTACTTCCAATTTGTTTATGTGCAATTATATTGAGGTAAAAAGACTGAACGCCTTCAAAAAAAATCCTAACCTGTGAGTTATTAATGACATGATTAGCTTCCAGTTGGATAGTAAATGTAACACCCAGTTCTGATGAAAAGGATTTCATTGGTGATAACGTCCCAGATGTCAAAACAATCGTCCACACTTTGCCATTAATATCTGAAAAGGCCTAGAAAGAAACAACATTAGATATATAAAATCATCTTTAAAAGAGTCAGCACATTTATTTGTTTGTATTGAGTTAGAAGATAGAATTTTCATATACAACAATCAGCTTACCACAGCTGGATTTAAGCACCAGAAGTTTAGCACATGAACTGCAGTTTTCTGTCGTGAACGTTTCTTATTTTTTGGTGGAACAAAGAACCCATTTTTATCAGAAATATCAGTCTGATTTATCCAAGAATAAGTCTGTTGAATAGCAACTTTATAATCATCTGCAAACCTAAATGAAAGTAAATGTTAATTAAATGACAAAGCTTTATAAAACCTATACTGTCACAGCTACATACAAGAAAAAAATTGATTATATTAAAACTGAGTCCTGTATCTTCCCAAAAATTATATTTTGCCTATGAAACACCTACCACTAATTAAATTCAGTAATTCTGATAGAAAATAAGCCATTAAGTCTTAGAATCAACCCCCTTATAGAGATTAGATATCATCTAACCATCCACCCTTTATCACTCCCCTCCCTATGATCAAACACTACATAAATCATGGCAGAGCCAGAATTGAAATCCAAGCCTCCTAACTCCTAGTCCAGAGCTCTTTGTATTCTGTTATATCATTAGTTACAAAATAGATAGCATTTTTGTTAGAAAATTGTTAGAAAAAACTAGCATTATTGTTAGAAAAAACTAAAGTGATTTATACTTTTTTATTAAATGATAAAGTAGGAAAACATTCATTTTTACTGAAAGCTTAAAAAGTTCAGGAGACTACAAAAATGTTAACTTCCTTTAATATTTGGGTCTCAGTCTTCATTTATTTTTAACAAAGGTATTGAACCAGATGGCCTCTGTAATCCCATCATTTTATAATTTCTTTCAATAAGATACTATAAACACCTAGGCTTAAAGAGAATGAAATGTGGTATTCTCTACCAGTCCTCAATTTTTCTCTTAGAGAGATAAGGTCTCGATGTTCAAGGCAGGAACCCTACAATCTGTGAAGAGAATTTTATAAAAACATTGAGAGCTAAAAACTATAAAACCCTTAGAAGAAACATAGGGGGAAATCTTCATGACATCAGATTTATCCATGGTTCTTGGATATACCAAAAGCACTAGTAAGTAAATTGACTTTAAAGAAATAAATAAATTGGACTTCAAATTTTTAAAACTTTTATATATAAAGAATACTATCAAGAGAGTTAGAAGACATCCATAGAATGGAAGAAAATATTTGTAAAGCATATATCTGATACAGGATTAACATGCAGAATCCTATCTAATAATAGACAAACATGGTAATTAACCATACCTCCGCTACGCTTCCCATTGGCTAATCAGGGTGATATGCAAATTAACTGCCAACCAAGATGGCGGCC